TCTTTATGTAATATAACGAGCACTGAAATTTCATATTGGGAATTTCGGTGTAATTCTATGTAATTATTTAAAATTCCTCCATGTAACTCATTCAGGATTTCATGAAATTCAATCGAAATTTCACTGAAATTTCATGTAATTTCTTGAAATTTCATGTAATTCGAGAGGAACTAAAATTAAATGTGAATTCTATGGAAACTTCGCAAAAATTTCACATGTCACATTTCACACCATAAAATTCAATAGAATTCTTGGAATTTGTTTTTCTTCGGAATTACAAATATAAGATTTCATAAAATTCTTTGGAATTCCAGTAAAATTTCAAGTTATTCCATAGGAATACCGCGGAAATTTTAGTCAATTCCATAGAAATTCCTTAGAATTTCTCCAGAAGATTTTATGGAATTCTTCGAAATTCCATTCAAGTGATAAATTTGAATGGAAAAACGTAAATTCCTAAAAATTCAACTGTAAGATTTCATAAAACTTTTCCGAATTTCATCATAAGATTCTATGGAATTCCACCATAAAATTTAATGGAATTCTTGCACAAAAATTCCTCGGAATTATACTATGAGATTTCATGAAATTCTTCGGAATTCCATGAAAATTTCAAGTTATTCTATAGGAATTCCGTGAAAATTTTAATTAATTTCATAGAGATTTCTTAGAATTTCACCAGAAGATTTTATAGAATTCCTGTAAATTCCATTCAAATCGTAAATTTGAATGGGAAAACGGAAATTCCTAAAAATTTTACTATAAGATTTTATATTTTTCCAAATTTCATCATAGGATTTCATGGAATTCCACAATAAAATTCAATGGAATTCTTGAACAAAAATTCCTCGGAATTACACTATGAAAATTCATGAAATTCTTCGGAATTCCACTAAAATTTTAAGTTATTCCATAGGAATTCCGCGAAAATTTTTAGTAATTCCTTAGAAATTCCACTTCATCAGGAGATTTTATGGAATTCTTAGACAAAATTTTTTCGGAATTACAGTATACGATTTAATGAAATTCCTCGGAATACCAATAAATTTTCAATTTCAAAATTCCATAATTTTTTTTAGCTTTACTGAAATTTCCCAAAATTTCACCACTGAAATATCCTGGAATTCCACAAAAAAATTCTTAAAAATTCCTCGGAATTCACTAAAATTTTATGAGAATATTTTGAAATTCTACGTTCACCGCCGAAGATTTCTCGGAAGTCCAATGAAACTTCAAGGAATTTTTCGAAATTTCATTTATTTTCATAAGAAATTTCATTGAAATTCACTTTTAATAGCCAGGAATTTTTGGGAATATTAATGAAACTTCAAGTAATTTCTTGAAAATTCACCGAAATATATTGAAATTTCATGTCATTACATGGGAATTTTTAGGAATATCACCGAAATTCCATGTTTTTAGCCGGAAATTCCTCGGCATTCCACTTGTGGAATTTTCTGGAATTTTACTCATATATAATACCACAAGAGAAAAAATTTTGTTGGCAAAATTTTCGATTGGTATGAAAGTTTGTTGCTTGCAACAAACTTGAATAAAACCAACCAAGAGAATAATTTTACCAACAAAATTTTTTCTTGAGTGGTATTCGGCTGCACTATTTCACGAGAAAAACAAGCCTAAAAACTGAAATTTCATGTTGGGAATTTCGGTGGAAGTTCATATAATTTTTTAGAATTCCTTCATGCGATTCATTTAGGAGTCCGTGTAATTCGATCGAAATTTCACTGAAATTTCATGTAATTCGAGAGGAACTAAAATTTAATATGAACTCTTTGGAAACTTCCCAAAAATTTCACATGTAATTCCTTTTTCAGAATAACATAATTCTACAGAAATTCCTCGAAATTTCACTAAATTATGGAATTCTGAGAGACTTGACAGATTTTTGGGGATTCCAAAGAATTTTTGGGAATTTCAAGGATATAAAGTCTGTTTTTTTTTTAAAGATAAAAGTCAAAATGAAATTATGTTGGCAATACAATGTAAAATTGTCAATGCAATGTAAAATTGTCAATGCTTTCAAATTTTTTATGTAGAAAAGGCTTGTGTTGCCAACATAGTTACTAAATTTGTGACATGGGGAATTATCTTTAAAAAAAAAAAACAAGCTTTAGTTATTTTTGTCACAAGTACCTAAAATGAAATTTTCCAGGACGAATCATTGCTGTTTCCGGACGAGGCGTTAGCCGAGTCCAGAATAGCAGATGAGTCCTGAAAAACTTCGTTAGGTACCATCGTCACCAAAAGTAACTGGGACAGCATCACATTAGCTCTTGTCCTATTATATGAATTTTATTGTCAAATATTTGTCAAAGTATGATTTAAATGCATTGAAATTAATGACAGTAAAATTAGTCCAGGAGATTATTATGCATTATTTGTGTCCCAGATACTTTTGGTGACGATGGTACATGTGACAAACACTATTTTTTGTTATACGCTTTTTAGAATTCTTCAGAACGCTTGCAAAATTTCTTTAATTTTTGAAATCATAAAAGTGCATCCAGAAAAAAAAAACCTAAAAAGAAGCATTTTACGGACTTGAATGAGTCTGTAAAATAGCTGTTTTTGGGAGCGTATGACAAAAATATTTTTCAGGAATGTTAATGATTTTATGAGATTTTGCAGGATTTTTTTGGTTTTAATGCAATTTTGTTAGATTTTGTGGGATTATGTAAAATTTTTAAGGATTTCAAAGATTTTTAGGGATTTTGAGTAGATTTTATGAGATTTTCTGGGATTTTGACCAACTTGTACACAGATTTTGACAAGTTAACCACCCCTCGGCAAAAATGCAAACTCTTACATTTTAATATTTTTCTGGAAAACTACTGAAGAAAAAATTATGAAACTTTTAGGATGAGAAGTGGAAAGTTAGGAGTTCATTATACTAAAATTTCATATCTTTCCAGTGAAAAATAACATCATGAGAAAGTAATGGAAATCAACTTTCAAAATCCAAATTGAACAAAAATGTAATTTCTTTACATTTTTATATTTTTCTGAAAAACTACAGAAGGGAAAATTATGAAACTTTTAGGATAAAAAGTAGAACACTAGGAGCTTATTATACTTACCGTAATCAAAACATCTGGCCTAATTGTAGGAATTTCTGCTGCCATCAAATGCCTATCTTCCTGCCTAGAAAAATCTCCAGTATAAAGTATCTAAAAAAACCACAAATCAAACAAACTCCAATTAACAAAAATCCAAATTTGAGTACTTTAACTCCAGCAATTTCTATCATAAACATAGCAGCCCCTAAGACATGTCCAGCATTGTAAGCCCAAAACTTAATGCCCATTATATCTTTTTCCTCGTGAAAATTAATAGTTTCTATCTTGTCCATGCTAGCCTCCAAATCAGCTTCGGTGTAGAGCATTTGCTCGGTTGCAATGTTGCTGACTTTAATGTAATCAGAAAGCAACCACCTGTAAATAGCTTTAGTGGCGTGGGTCATGAAACATCTTCCTTTGAAACTGGTTTTCAAAAGAAACCACGGCAAGGCCCCACTGTGATCTAAATGGAAACTACACAGATTTATTATTTATTAAAATGGGAGTGTTAAGGAATATTTACTGTGATATTAGGAGTAAATCGATTTCGTCAGCTTCAATTAGGTCTACAAAAGGCAAAGCGTCCATGCCTGAAAGGCCCGGATGGATTCCACAGTCCAGCTGTAAGTTTTATGTTATTATAAATACAAGAAATATTATTTGTATAACAGGTATTTACCATGATTTTCTTGCCTTTGTATTCGATCATGATGCAGGAACGTCCCACTTCCTGCCCAGCTCCCCTATAGAAATAATGAAAAATTGAATTTTTGTTGGGGAAAATGTACGAAAACAACTTACAAAGGACGAATGGTCAATTGGTCGCTTTCTTCAGCAGGAACTTGAGAATCTGGTTTCCTTTTGTTCGACATTTTATAAGATTTTAATAATTTTATTAAAATTATAAAATGAAATCACACTCACTGAAAAATATTTACTTTTGCTTGAAATAGGTTATGTTGATTTTAATTTGAATGCCGGTATTAGTTGCTAACTTCACTCCATTAAAAATCAAGGATTGTACTTTGTGACGTCACAAGTAGGCTTATCTTATATTTACGCTTTTTATAATATTTTATATTTTAATTTATTGTTTCTCGATAAATAAATAAATTATTATTACAATAATAAACTCATATTAAGCGTTTAATTACCGGAACAATTTTTTTAATTAATTAACTTTCGATACGCCTTGCAATAATATTATTGCAATAGCAATAGATGCAAAAATAGAAATCGTAGTTCAACTAAAAATGTTGAAACTTTTTGTTTTTGGATGGATTGTTATTATACATTTTATTAATAAATAGATGGTTGTGGAAAGAGTTACAAAACGAAACGATATTCTTTCAAACAGCCTCTCGATCTACTTTGTTTTCATATCCATATTAATATGAGCAAATATCGATACTTTCGATACGATTTCTGATTTTTTGTTCTGGTCTATTCCTGGCTCTTGAATTTCTGTTTTCTTCTAAATTTCTCTAAATAGAGAAGATTTAATAAGTTTTAAGAGCTCTTAATACAAACAAAACACTTTGTGTGGTACCAACCACCCAAGTAACAATCCGACGTCATTTGACGTAATATAATGTTAAAAATGTTCTACCTGACGACAGCATGCGACGTCCGTAGGACTTCCTGACGACCAAAATTCGACTAGAATGGGGAATGAAATTTCAGTCGATTCGACGTCGGAATCCGATATTGAGTCCTTAAGCCGACCTAAACACTACGTCATTTGACGTTGAGAATGATACACCATTTCCGACTTGAAAAGTCGGGAAGATCTAATTATTTATACCTAAACTGTTCAAAAATTGGTCTAAAGATTTTTCCCTATTTTCTACCAAATGTGGATATATTATTTTGGAATCATAACAACACAAAGTGACGTCAACTATTTTATTTTGTTGTAATATATAGGTTCTTATGTTACTTTTTAGTGCATTTCACAAGTTCCTCTGGTCAAAATTCATGAACGCAGGTGACTTTATTGATAAAAATAACTGAAGTAGGACTAAAAACACAACCGCCTCATCAACAAGGGGGTCATCGTCGGTCGAACCCAATAATGGCCGAAATACCCGAAATAGCTGATGTCGAAAGCGACGAAAATTGCACGAAAACTGACTATGCCCAATCTTTAGTCAGATAAATAATCCCTAGTTTTCACCTGCGGCGACCTTTAGTCGCAATATGTAGATTCTTTTATACGAAATCTGTTCATAAAAATAATCGCAACATCTAGCCTACCTTCTACGGACGATGGGTAGAGCTTAATTTAATTTATAGATATGTAAATAAAATTTCTATTGATTAATACTAACAATTAATGTCGATTACGACCAATAGAAAGGAGTTTTTAGTGAATCTCGCGTTGATATGGAACTCAGGCTTTAATTGTATCAAATATCAGACACACAGTAGGTTTTCGGAAACACTGATCCGATTTACCCGATCATTGGCAATGATCAATCTTGCTATTATTTAAAATTCTATATTTTCTATAAAATGATTAAATGTCGTCGAATGCCTAAATGGTTTCCTCTTTCATTCCATTATTTTCAATTACGTATGGGTACCTAATTCACAAGAAGGTAATCCGAAACTAAAATTAACGAAAATTAAAATAACCCTTAAAAAAAGTTGGGTCATTTTATTTTGTGTACATTGTTGGAACTTAATCAACTTTGGTGAATTTACCGACGTCGAACCAAGGTTGGCGGAAAACTTAGTGCCGCATATTTAAATTTAGTCGAATGACAACTTATGACCAACGTTGCCTACTATACCAAAACTTACCTAGCCGTAATAGGTTATATGGCGACGTTGTAGCGACGTCCAAAGATAACTTCCAATATTTTAGTCAAGATAGGACGTCACGCCAACGTTGGCAAATTACTCGTAAGCTACTTTAATTTTCGAAGGCGGCTTGCGTGGTCGAAGCATCGTTGTGTCGACGTTGTACTGCGACTGAAGCTGTGAAGTCGTGATACAACTAATATATGAACCTATTCTGACGTTGAAATAGGTGCAAATAACGTTGGAAGACGGAAAAATGTTACTTGGGCAATTTTTCTTACTTTCTTCTGTGTATTTTTTAATTTTTCTAGCTCAATTTTTGTCTATTCCCGGCTCTTGAATTTGAAAAGCTTATAGGCACAAAGTTAATGGGATAGGCAAAATAGGTATGTTCTCACAAAAATCATAAACCACTCAAAGCATTTCATTTGTGATTGGTGCAAATCGCCAACAAACAGTTTTCTGACTATTTCCAACCAATGTAATTTTCTCTGACTGGTTTATGATTTTTGTAAGAACAAACCTTATGAATTGTTATAAATGTTCACTGTTCACTTATTAAGACAGCACACAAAATCTTGAAGACGTTTTTTTTAGGTCTGTATTGTGTCAGAACATCTGAAGACCGAAACAAGACGACTTAAAGATGTAAATTCACATCTTAAAGACAACTAAACCACACTGTTTGGTACAACCAAGCCCTTAAAGTGAATAATGATTTATGTATTAAAAAGAGATTCAAAGACGTCTTTGAGACATCTTTAGAATATCTTAGAACAATCTCATAAAGACGTTGTTAGGCAGACGTTGAGTTTTGTCTTTATGATGTGAGCAGACGTGTAAAAAACGTTTTGAATGTCGTTTGTAGAAATCTTATAGGGTCGTTTCGAAGATGTCTACAAAAACTTTCCACAGAATTCGTTTCTCATTTAATTTAGGAGTTACTGACTGAAAATGCTACAGAATACTTTAGTACCTCAATAAGCCCTTTGGAAAGCTCAACCCATAATATTCAATTTAGAACTTCCCAAAACATATTGTAGCGCTTCAGAATAATTTCGAAACTCTAGGACCATTTTAGAATGCTCCAAAATATTCAAAACCCGATATAAATATTCTCCAAAAACATTTTACTTAGAACAATTCAGAAGTTTAGGGGTTGAAGGTCTATCTGCATCAGGTTTTATGGTTTCTCCTTCTATTGTATATTCCAGAATATTGATAGTTGACACACAGATTAGATTAGATTAGATTAATATTGGGGTGTTGTTGCACTGCGATCTAAAGATCTATTCTGCCCCCTGCTGAGGCCAATTTGATGTGGCTCTCAAATCATAGTACTTCGTTCAGTCCTATGGCCTTGATGAGGGCTAGTAACTGGTACGGTATCAAGGATGGTATGTCTCCTTCTAAAACTACATAGTCACCGAGATGTGTATAGCCCGGCTTCTAGCGACGGCTTCACATACGGTTAGTAGGTGTTCTGGAATGTCTTCCTCCTCCCCGCAAAACCTGCATTCACTGGATCGATGTGCACCATTCTTCGGTAGTACTTAGGCCTTTTTGTATGAGGTCGTATAGTGTGCCCTCAAACTTGCCTTTGGCAATAATGACAATATCATCGGCGTAACCTATACAAGTTAGACCCTGATTTGTCAGTCTGGACAGGAGCTCATCAACTACCATTACCAGGCTCCACAACAGGGGCGAGGTTACTCCCCCTTGAGGTGTACCACGAGTGGTTCTGATACTTGTGGTTTGTTCACCCACAGTTGTCTCAGCTGTTCTCGTAGTCAGAATTCCACAGACCCACCGGACTATGGTTTTATTCACTCCTTTCCTTTCCAGAGCAATTTTTACCGCCCCATGGGACGTGTTATCAAAAGCTCCGGATATGGAAGGCACATAATATGGCTGTTTCTTTTTCCTTAAGGGTTTTTTGGATGATTTCTGTAAGTTGATAGAGCGCTGTTTCTGTTGATCTGTCTGCTCTGTATGCATGTTGGCACGAGTGTAGAGGTGATGCCTTCTCCATAATTTCCTTTCTGATGTAGTTATCTAAGCTTTTTCTATCGTCTTTAGTACAAAGGACGTAAGACTAATAGGTCGAAAAGATTTAGGGTTTGTCCCATCCTTTTTTCCTATTTTGGGTATGAAGGTTACTTTATCTCGTCGCCAGATACTCGGTATATATCCCGAGGCTAAACTAGTCCTAGCTATTCTAAGTAGGTAAGGGAATATTTACTTTTGCCCTTTTTGTAAAAGGGCAGGAAATATTCCGTCCACTCCTGGTGACTTGAACGGTTGAAAGGTACTTATATTTCCCATTTCATCCGACCCGCAGTAAAAACCCTTTTTGCAGCTTCTCAGTCCTCCTTCTTCGGTTTACTGGTGTCGACTACCGTGGGTATTTCTACTGGTACGCTACCTGGAAAGTGCGTTTGAAGTAATAGGATGGCCTGCTCCTCTTATCTTTTCGTGTAGGTGCCGTCCGGCTTTTTGAGAGCCATCACTGGATTTGTTCCTCCTTTGGCCATGGCCTTATGTAGCCTTGCAGCCATTGGAGTGTCAGCAATTTCCTCACAAAAGGTTTCTTATCTCTTTGTTATACAGAGTAAGCACTTCTACGTATCCCTGCCAATTTCCGTCACTTTTTGCTGTATTGAAAAGATGACGGACTTGAGATCTCAGCTATGAATCTCAGTTTTGACAGGTGTCTGTTCTACCATGGTGCATCTTTTTTGGATCTCGCTGTAGTCACTGGGCAACTGGATTCAAAGGCTTCCATAATTGCCGTTGTTACTTCCTTAGTGTCCTGCTCCAGGTCCATGTGGTGTCTTGACCCACCTGAACTTAAGCAGTGAAGGTTGTTCTGTAAATTGGTTTTGTAGGCTTCCCAATTGGTTTTTCTCGGAACCTTTCGTATGGGTCTATTGTATTTTACCATTCTCTAGGCTAGGTTCAACTCAATTATCCTGTGATCTGACAGGGATGGTTCGGTTGATACTCTCCAGTTTTTGATGAGGTCTTTAATACTGGAGCTGACTAAAGTTATATCTAATACTTCCGACCTTGTTCTAGTCACGAATGTAGGCATAGTACCAAAATTCAAGACCTCAAGGTCGGTAGTCATAAGAAATTCAAACAAACACTCACCTCTATAGTTGATATCCGTGCTTCCCCAGATAACATGATGTGCATTTGCGTCGCAGCCTAAGAGTAGTGGCAGGCGCTCTCTTCTGCAATATTGGATCAGCTCTTGTACCTCCGGCGGTGGTGTCGTTAGCCAATTTCCAGGAAAGTATGATGAAGCAATTACTATGTTGCGGTTGCAGCCCCCAATGTCGAGTTGTACGACAATGGGTGTCAAGTCCCGTGACATAAATTCTGTAACAGACATATAATTAATGTCATTTCTTATGAGAATACAGGCTCTGGGTGATTCCTGCCTGTTATCGTATACTACTTTTGAAAGTTTGCTTGACAAAACCTTTGATTTGCCCTCTATTGATCCAGGGTTCTTGGATCATAACTAGTCCCAGATCTTGGTTAGCGAACATTCGTACAATCACATCAGAGGATGCCCGTTTGTGTTGCAGATTGATTTGCGCTAATCTGGTGAATGTTCTAGTAATGGGAGGAAGGATCAGCACGTGGTCTGTTTGGACTATCCTGTCCTTCCCTCTGCTGTTCCTTACTCTGATCCGCCAGAAGCTTCTCTCCATCTTCCTTGCTGATGACCTCATCCTGAGAAGAAGAGTTGACTTTAAGAGATTCGAGGCTTAAGCCCTCGGTCTTTTGCCCCTCGTTTCCCTTTGATGCAGTCTCATCGGTGAGGGTGTTCTCCAACAGAGAAGAGGTGGTCGAGGCTGTTGGTTCAAAGTCCATTTTCTCTTCCTCCGCTTCTTCTCGCTTCTTAAGGCCAGATACAGGGACTTGCCCAAACCTGTAGTGGATGGAGTGTCCCTTGGCCTTGATAGCTTCCTTACTTTTGGTATCGATCCCAATTGTAAGGACTTGGCCGTGGCCCTGTTCTTTCGCGTTCATAACTAGCCACGTATTTGTGGAGAGTTCCGCATTCTGGACTTCAATCAGTTCAATCAGTCTCAGAAGAGCTTTGGTGTCTTGCCCTTTGCTCCTTGGGAGGAAGATACTGATCGTATGCGACTTGGAGATGTCGTCTCCTCTCCGTGCAACGAGTTCAGGCCCCTTCAATGTTACAGTTACCAGATTACAGATAGAAAGTTTTTGATTGATTTCCGCCAAAACTGAATTCTACTCCTGAATGATTTTGAAGAATATCATGTCCAATTATAATGTCAGAACAAAGATTTTGTAAGACATACATCCCGATATTTTTGTACACATGATCTGATACTTCTATAATCACAATACAGTATCCACAAACAGGAGAATTCAAAGATGAAGCAGCCAGTTCAATGGAGGCAGCTGACATCATTCCAATCATGGCAGCTGAAGTTTTATTTGAATCATGAGATTGTTTTTGATGTTTTGATCTACATATTCTTGTGTGAAATGACCAATCTTTCTACAGGAATCACAGATTGCATCTTTTGCTGGACATCTATTTCTAGAGTGTCTGTTTTTCCCACAAAAATAACATTTTGAAGTAATTACGGCAAGTTTTGTAACCTTTTGTTCATTATTGATTATTGAACATAAGTCGATGATTGATTTGATACAATCGAATTCACGTATGAATTTGAGGAATAATATTCTGACTATTGTTGAGCCATTTCTAAAGATTTAGCTGATTTATGTGCTTCTTCTAGGTTCAGCGTTGTATTTTCTAAAAGTCTTTGCCTAATAGTGAGATGTGGCGAGACCACGAATAGATGAATCTCTTATGTAGTCATTTTATTCTGTTCAGCAGTGACTGCTTTAAAATTACGCTCTTTACTTAATTGTATCAAAATTTGTAAGCACTGCAAATAATTAATACAGTGATAAGGTAGGTAATGAGATCTACAACAGTTTTCACCATACATCTCTTCAAGTCAATAAAAGACCTTCTTCCTAGGATGTACCAGAGAAATTCATCAAATGCTGTTGAAAATACCTATACGGATAATTTCACAAACTATGATATTTTCTTTGAAGTTGAAATTGCAAACTATAAAACTTTTCCAAATGACGTTGAATCTCCAACAATCAAAATTCTTTTTTAAAGAAGTTGAAATTTGGAATAACAACATGATCTAAACAAATGTTGAAATTCTCCCAAATGGAGCTAAACCTTAATATAAGTTTCCATCAAGTTCCTTTAGAAGAGGAAGTTAGAAAAAAACGTTCTTGATACTTAGGTACTATTTCAAAAGGGTTGTTTTAGGCCCTGCCTGAATATGATCTATAAATATTGATGCGCAGTATTTATATAAACATTTCTCTTCAATAAGTACCACCAAAAAAAAAAAAAAAAAAATAACCATCGTGTCGAGTTTACTTATGGTACCAGCTCGATATTCGTGCATGTTTTGCTTGACGAAGTCTCATTCTCATTACGAAAATTTCTTTGAGCGTAAAGTAGGTTAGCCGGAGAAAGTCAACTTTTTCAGATAAACGGTCGCAGTAGCGGATTTCAGCAGTGTAACATTTGCAGTTGTTCCGCGTAGTGTGTAGGGCGCGTAACTTTCGGAAGATTTTATCAAGGTAGGTAAAGGGAATTTATGGCCCTTATAACAATTGTTTTTTTGCAATGAATTAATTGACCATAAAAAAATTAATCGGTTTTAGTTTTATTGTTAATTTTAACGACCGTCCACGTAGGAACTATTTTTGATGTTTTTGAATTACTTATACGAATACCTAATTATCATAATTTTTCTATTGGTTTTGCCACTATAAACTATTTCGTGAAGTTATTTTGCCTTGAATAATTACCTGATTTTTTTGAAAAACGTGTTTCTTATTAGTTTTCGTAAGAACGCGTGAAATGCGCATACTAATTTAAAGCCGTCTTTACGATGGATACAGGAAAAATTGAATTCGTGTATAGAAAAAAAAACTTTATTAACCCTGATACCATTTTTATAATTATTGTTTTTATTAATTAAATGTATAGGTACCTACGTGAATATAATGTTTATTATTCCAATTAAATATTTTAAAAATATGGATTTAGTTGTTGCCTTATTCATTATTTTCTTCAAAATTTTTTTGTTTATTTCCAGCTCTTGAAAAATTCAATTTAGAGATAAAACTTGAAAAACATGAAAATCGTGCTACAACAGCTGGTAATTTCCACTGGAGAATCTTAAATCTCCAATTTTTCACTTTTTTAGAGCTGAATTCCACCTTGAAAATCTCATTCACGTTCCATCAAGAGCAAAAATTTGAATCCTGAGATAGGAAAAATATAGATGATGTTCACTTATTTACCAGTTTTTTCTTAAATTTATTTTCACGAAAAGACTACAAATTTTTTGGGTCTTCTATAAAAAAAAAACTCTTTGGATCTTCAAGATTGGGAAGTTTCAAATTTGTTCGTTTTTCATAAAAGACCTCCACATAAGTTGGGATAAGTGTTAAATCAGTTAAACTTTAACTAAGGCTTAACTGCACTTTTGCCCTTTCAGAGTATACGTATTACATGGTGTTCTGTTATATATTGACACCCCACAGCTTTTACCTAACTTTACAGGTAGAAGAAAGGTGTAAAAACAAAATTTGAATGTCAAAAATGTGAAATTTTGCATGCTTCCAGATTTTTTCAAATGGGATGCCCAATATTTCATTCTATATTCTTAAAGAGCACAATGCCCCGATTCCAAAAATATATAGTTCGTCTATATTTGATTGAACTGAACAGTCTCTCATATATTCAGCTCCAAAAATTGTAAAAATACCATTCACCATTCATTCTACCTGGTACAGGTGAAAGCTGCAGGGAAAATTTGAGGTACTTGGTTTCTCTGATAGTATTTTTAAAATGTTTAGAATCAAATATGTTGGAGATGGCTCAACCAAATAATATAGACAAACTATATAGTTTTGGAATCGGGAAATTGTGCTCTTCAAGAATATAGAACCAAATATAGGGCATCCCATTTGAAAAAAAAAGCTAAAAGCATGCAACATTTCACGTTTCTGACATTCAATTTTTGTTTCTGACCATGGATTCTAAAAATGTAGCCAATACTGTACAAGTTTTGTATTTACATCTTTCACCTACTTGTAAAGTGAAGGCTGTAGGTGGTGTGCCAATATATAAAAAAACACCTTGTACAAATAAGTGGATTATTGCGGAACTTATGGGTGAACCTCTGCGGGACGAGCGCAGCGAGTTCCGCAGCCATCTATTCATTAATATGTTGTTTAATTACGATAATAACCTGACTCACTCAAATGTGAGTTATTTTCATTAGTTCAAAAACTACACATTTCAGGTGAATGTCTTACTTGAACAGTTCAACAGTATATTGGTGAGTAGAGGTCCACCCATAAGTTCCGCAATAATCCACTTATTTGTACAGGGTGTTTTTTTATAAATTGACACACCACCTACAGCCTTCACCTTTACAAGTAGATGAAAGATGTAAATACAAAAGTTGTGCAGTTTTGGCTACATTTTTAGAATCCATGGGTCAGAAACAAAACTTGAATGTCAGAAATGTGAAATGTTGCATGCTTTTAACTTTTTTTTCAAATGGGATGCCCTTTATTTGATTCTATATGCTTGAAGAGCACAATTGCCCGATTCCAAAACCATATAGTTTGTCTATATTATTTGATGAGCCGTCTCCAACATATTTGGTTCTAAACAACAGTGAGCTGAGTTTTTAAAAACCATGGTCAGAAACAAAATTTGAATATCAAAAATGTGAAATTTTGATGCTTCCAGATTTTTTTGAAATGGGATGCCCTATATTTCATTCTATATTCTTAAAGAGCACAATTCCCGGATTCCAAAAATATATAGTTCGTCTATATTTGATTGAACTGAACAGTCTCTCATATATTCAGCTCCAAAAATTGTAAAAATACTATCCTATTACTGATTTTGTGAACCATTCTACCTGTACAGGTGAAAGCTGCAGGTAAAATTTGAGGTAAGTACTTGGTTTCTCTGATAGTATTTTTAAAATGTTTAGAACCAAATATGTTGGAGACGGCTCAACCAAATAATATAGACAAACTATATAGTTTTGGAATCGGGAAATTGTGCTCTTCAAGAATATAGAACCAAATAAAGGGTATCCCATTTGAAAAAAAAGCTAAAAGCATGCAACATTTCACATTTCTGACATTCAATTTTTGTTTCTGACCATGGATTCTGAAAATGTTGCCAATACTGCACAACTTTTGTATTTACATCTTTCATCTACTTATAAAGGTGAAGGCTGTAGGTGGTGTGTCAATATATAAAAAACACCCTGTACAAATAAGTCAATTATTGCGGAACTTATGGGTGGACCTCTATTCATTAATAATGTTGTTTAATTACGATAATAACCTGACTCACTCAAATGTGAGTTATTCTCATTTGTTTAAAAACTACACATTTCAGGTGAATGTCTTACTTGAACAGTTCAACAGTATATTGGTGAGTAGATGGCTGCGGAACTCGCTGCGCTCGTCCCGCAGAGGTCCACCCATAAGTTCCGCAATATTCCACTTATTTGTACAGGGTGTTTTTTTATATATTGACACCCCACCTACAGCCTTTACCTTTACAGTTAGAAGAAAGGTGTAAATACAAAAGTTGTATAGTTTTGGCTGAATTTTTAGAAACCATGGTCAGAAACAAAATTTGAATGTCAGAATTGTGAAATTTTGCATGCTTCCAGCTTTTTTCAAATGGGATGCCCTATATTTAATTCTATATTCTTGAAGAGCACAATGCCCCGATCTATATTTGATTGAGCAATCTCTCATACTCATATATTTGGCTCCAAAAATTGTAAAAACTACTATCCTACTACTTACTGATTTTGTGAACCATTCTACTTGTACAGGTGAAAGCTGCAGGTAAAATTTGAGGTACTTGGTTTCTCTAATAGTATTTTTAAAATATTTAGAACCAAATATGTTGGAGACGGCTCAACCAAATAATATAGACAAACTATATAGTTTTGGAATCGGGAATTGTGCTCTTCAAGACAGGGCCGGCTCCAGACATTTCGGCGCCCCGTGCAAAAGGTATTTTTTGCCGCCCCTCTTACCGATTACTTCCCTACTTTGTCGTTCTCATTCAACATTAATTGCAATTTGAATTGAACTCTCAAAAAAACCACCCCTATGGTAATTTGTTAAACAAGAGCCTGGAATAGAAAAAAACATGAATACCGTCTTGTCCTCTTATCTACCAATTTTTTCTCAATTTTTCTTTCATTCCTTCTCCCTTATTTCTTAATTTTTGTCTATTCCCGGCTCTTGAATTTGTCAAACAAGAGCCTGGAATAGAAAAAAAAAACATTCATATTCTCTTATAGTCCGTTTATAAAGTGTATAGACTTTTTCGAGTGCGTGATTTCCAATCAGCGTCAAAAACTTTGAACAGTGTATAGACTTTATGAACAGACTATATAAAATGATTTAGGAATGGAAATTTTATTGTCAAAAAAATATGATTTATAAGACATGTTTACTCAACAATGGGGATATTTAACGTTTTTTTTTTATTTATTTTTCTAATTCTAGAACACAAACTAAGTCTAATATAGTTATTTTTGTCACAAGTACCTAAAATGAAGTTTTTCAGGACGAATCATTGCTGTTTCCGGACGAGGCGTTAGCCGAGTCCGGAATAGCAGATGAGTCCTGAATAACTTCGTTTAGGTACGTGTGACAAACACTATTTTTTGTCATACGCTTTTTAGAATCCTTCAGAACGCTAAAATTTGCAAATTTTCATTAATTTTTGAAATCGTAAAGGAGCATTTAGGAAGAAAAAAAAAATCCTAAAAAGAAGCATTTTACGGACTTGAATGAGTCCGTAAAATAACTGTTTTTGGGAGCGTATGACAAACACTATTTTGGGGAACATTTGAGTTGCCGATAATTTTTAATAAAAAATATAAATTCAGCAGCATTTCAATCGCCGCAGAAAAACCCGCCAAATATGACGTCAGTCCATAACTAACAAAAATATAGGTACTGCAAATAAGTACATTGTCAGATTGTCGTTGTTATTGTTGATTTCCAAGATTGCCTCTAGAAACCTCGTTTTTATCCTTGCATTATATAGTTTTTTGTTGTATAATTTAGACTACAGCTATAAAATTAATGTAACTTTTTAATTGTTAGTAGGTTTAGTTGTAGAACAACAGTTTTTCTAGGGTTGCAAAAGGATTTATGCCACGTCATTTTAGGATTAAGGAATCATGACATTCAGTTTGGCAACGTTGCACTGTCTAACGTCAAGTAGGTTATGTTAACCAGCGTTAAACGAACAAGATGCAAATAACGAATGAGGAGTTTCATCATTGTCACTTGTCACTCTTCAGAGCTTAGACAAGGAAAACATATAAGATGTGCGCCAAAGCCACTGTGAACGATTCTTATTGGTCGGAGAGTGTATAATACGTCATACAATGGCGCCATTCCAGTACGTTTAAATATTTGAGATGAAAATAGCATTTTTGAAAATTATTTTAAAAAAAATTAGGACATTTTAAACCCAACTGGAAGCAAGGGTATTTATATTTTGG